TCGTAGTAGAGAAAATAATGGATATTAATAGGGATACATATATATATATATATATATATATATATATATATATATATGTATGTATAGAAGATTTTTAAAATATTGTTAAACTAATAAAATATCTTTGATTATGCGGGTACAATGTCGAACACGACCCACTAACGATATTAGGTCAATTCCTAAGAATAGATTAGAAGAAAGGGAGACCAGATCACAGAGCTATTTACAAAGTATTCGATATAAAAAAAAAAAAAAAAAAAAGAAAAAAAGAAAGAAAGAAAGAAAGAAAGAAAAAGAAAAGAAAAAAAAGGTGGAGATGACAGAATCAGCAGTAAAGTAAAAATCGAAATAATTTTAAGGGGTGCCCCGTGGAAATGAAATATGAAGCTATTTAGTGACTTTTAAGATATGGAATTATAAACACACGCTCGTTTAAACGTATAAATTGGGTAAAAACACGAAAAAAAAAAAAAAAAAAAAAAAAAAAAAAAAAAAAAATTTTCCAACAATACTTTAGCATATGATAATATAAATAATTTAAAAAAAAATTTTCTTCTCTATTTCATGCAATTCATTATACTCTCAATGATATTATTATTAAATGATAAATAATAAACAATAATTAATATCATCACCAGTATTTTAATTATTATTATCTCTTTTATCATTTTTAATTTTGTTATTAATATATAACATGTCGTTAGCGATAATTCATCTATATTAAATAAGTATTAAATACTTATTTAATATAGATGAATTAAATAATAATTATTTCATTAAACGTACTTAATATTAATAAAATGGATGAAAATGATTGTTATATATGTCTGTTTCAAAACGCTTTATTTACCACATTTATGTTCGTTCAAGCAATATCAGGCGAAGCAAAAATAGCTCTTGGATATTTTAGTATACAGGAATGTAGCTTTCCTCACCAATATAGGTTTTATATAGAAATTAATTCATACGAATAATGATAATTAAATATAAGTATTTAATATAAGTATGAAATGTTAAATGTTGGAAGTTTTGTAATATATAAAGTACGTTATTTCTATAATGATAATTGTTAATTAAAAAAAAAAAAAAAAAAAAAAAAAACAAAAAAACCCTTAAGCATATAAAGTCTCTTAAATAATACTTAAATATTATATTTAATTAAAATTATATTGTAATAAGAAAAATACAGCTTTTCACTTAATATTATACAATGACAAAGCATACAAAATTTTTACATTTAATTCACATCTAATTACCATATCGCAATTCTTCACGACGGTTTGACAATTTCAATGCGACTATCAATAATCTATATCTGTCTTATTTATTAATTCTTTTTAAATGTTGATATAAAATTTTAAACGTGAACAATCAAGCAATAATTGAACTCCGTTCAATTCAGTTCGAAATTCAGGCATTAATATAATTCGATTAAATTACCTTACTTTTATATGTGTGAAAATTATTCTTATAATATATTTATTATGCTTAACAATTCTATAAAGTTTGCATTTATTTTATTCGTAAGAATGGTGTATCAAGGTTCGTCTCGTACATCTTTGTACTCGTTATATATTTTTGACTATCGCATTTCAAACTGACAAATCCGTCTTTATGCTGTATCTTTATTTTGGTCTATCTTGATTACGTATTGGAAAAGATTTTTTAAAAATAAATATTATTCACCGAATGAAAATGAATGCATATGAGGCATTAAAAATGAAAAGATAATTTAAATTAACACGTAGGAAGAGTCGTAATATTTCTCTTATTTTCTCTTTCCTTCTTTCTTTCTTTCTTTTTTTTTTACAATAATACACGATTAATAAATTTTTAAAAAAAACGCACTACGAAGTTTTAAAATTTTTAGCGAGTCAAGAATATATTATTTTTCATGAACCCAAAGTTATATAAATATGTGGTAATATTTCTTATTTGAATCGAATATTGTAAATAATTCGTTACGCGATAAATATCGTCTTTCGTTGATAAACAAAATATTGCGAATTAATGCAGAAATGTATGTTATAACATGTATTAATATAAGAGAGAAAAAAATAAAATATTCTTAACTAATGCCTAAATATATATCTAATTAAAGACGATGCAAATGTCGAGAATTAAATGTCCAAATAAGGCAATATATAAACGTTAAAAGCAATCCGAAAATTTATCAATAAAATAATTAAAATATTAATTTAGGCAAAATGTTTTTCATCCTACGATATTATTATGATTTATAAAATCTTTTTTATCTTATAAGAAAAAGGATATTTTTACTGTAAAGTGATTAAGGTGATTAAAGTGATTTATTATTATAAAAATTAGTAGAAATTTCTCAGTAGTTGATGGAAATATATTTTTACGCATACGTTAATAATTTTGATTGTAATAATTATAATTTAAGTTTATTTCATCTAAAAATTGCATGAAATCTTATTTATATTAAATAAAGTGCTATAAAAAAAATTATTAAGAAAAAAATGACTATTTTATTAATGACTTTAATAGAAATAAGTAAAATTGTGTAAATTATTCAGTGAAACATTAAAATTATTAAATAAAAATTCTGTTTTGTTTATAACCACGCAACGCAATTAAATATTTAAAACAATTAAAACAATTATAATAAGCCGTAGTCATTCATCATTAAATTTCTTCATATGTGAATAAATTTGATTTATTCTATTATATAGGAAATACTAAGATTATTAACGATTGAATAAACTACCGGAAATTTTTTATTGTTTATTATTATTTTTTATTTATTTATTTATTTTTTTTTTTTGTGCAAAACAATTCGAGTTCTCTGACAATATTGTTTTAATGACAATTAACAGAGGAATTATAGAAATAACGTTAATACTGCTTTGCTTGTTTATCGGTAAATAATAAAAGATTTATAATTAATGGAATTATGCTTAGTCGATAGTTATTAAGACGTTCAATCAACATTGATCATAAGTTTGAAAATAGTCGAGAATGACTTATTCGTTTAAACAAATTTTCTGCTTTAATTTTTGTTTCAATTGGTCTTTCGCTGAGTTAACGAACGAATGCCATTAAAGCGAATGCCCAACTGAATTTTCAAAATAATTGATACGAGTTGGTTATTTTTAAAAATTCTTATCCAATTTTGTCAACATAAATGCATGGATCCGAAGATAACAATATTTTCATTCCTCTTCTTGTAAATATATATATATAGGCAGTATGTGCATGTGATATTTTATAGCTTTTAACAATTTTCATCCCCTTCTTTTCTCTGTCTTACGTTCCCGTTTATTTCTTTTCTTTTTCTTTTTCTTTTATAATCAATGACAGTTTGTGATGAAAAAGTGGTATATGATTAGTAGCTAGCGAGGTCAGCGAAGGTCTGATCCATTTCCTCGGCGATCGCTTTGTACTTACTCCGCTCGTTTATCAGCTCGTCTGCAATAGAATTACAAAAGAAAGTTATTGTTAGTTCGGTATAATACCATTCTTAATCGTTTGATCGTTTCCTTTTGAAACTTTCAATAATATTTGTTAATTTAGGGATAAAATCTGTATTTTTACATTAATGTTAGTATAATTAGAATAAACTTAGTCATTCAATTATTTTTAAATATCTTCGCATAATCGTTATTGCGTACGATTCATAAAGAATTTTGGTGAATCAATTGTAAGTTACATGTATTTTTCATTAAAGTCTGCACTTGACAAAATCGTTATTAAAATTGTTTACTGGCTTAGTTCTTACTGGCTTAGCAACCTTATTGTAAATTTATTATATTTTCAGATTTGCATTAATTCAAGTTTAACGTAACGTTAACAATAGATTTATCGTAATATAACTTCACAATTCATATTTCAATTATTGTGAAATTCAATCTAAGCATATGAGATCTATAAAGTAAATTTACGATGATCCAAGAATTCAGCAAGATAATAAATTACTATTACGTCAAACTATTCTTAAATCAATGTTCGACGTATTAATTAACATGTACGTCCACAAAGTCTGCATTGACAATGAATAATACATTATTTTTTTTTTATAAGAAATACGTATGAAAATGAAAGAGAAAAAAATTAATCAAAGGAATGGAAAATGGTTATATTCATATTATCATCACATTTTATTTGCAGTTAAATTATAAAATTATAGTGTTAATGAGAATTATTTATTTATATTTGCATTAATATTTTTGTTACAACTACAATTTACTTATTCATTGATTTTTTCTGTTAATATTATCGAATATATATATATATATATATATACATATGTCACTCACTAACACATAAATTCTTAAAATGAAGTTTGTTTTAATATCGTTCTACATCTATAAATGTTTATAAGTTCTATACTAATGTATCGTCTCTTCTGGCCATCCATAAATTTGATCAAATTTATGACGAACGTAAAATTTTAACAAGACAGTAAAAGTAGTATAAATTATAATAATTACTAGTGTTAATATAAAGTTTGGATAGTTAACTTTCTTCATAAATAATAAATTTTAATAGTCGTTTTTAGTATTATGTTAAGAAAAGTCGCAAGCTTATAATGTTAAAATTAATATCCATTCATGGTATTTAATAATATAAGATTTTAACAATTCTATTAACATAACTATTTGTATAACATTTTTACAATGTTTAATTAAAAATTTAATTCAATATATATATATATATATATATATATATATATATATATATATGTATATTGAATGAAACAGATTCCATAGGCATATTTGAGTAGAGTTTCGCTTTTCTATTGTAAATCGCATATCCAAATTAATGAATTCCAGTATAATTTTTTGTAGTAAAATCATTTGTAATATTTGTACAATAATAGTCTATCGATCAATAGATTTATTTGTAAATTATAAACATAATTTATCGCATGTATTTTGTTCAGTGTAATGTGTGTGCGTGTGTGTGTATTTAAATTCGTAAATAATACATATACCGACCGTAACAAGTAATAAGGAAATGATATGGAAAGTGGACGATTGATGGGCAAATCACGCAAATTCGTACTTACAATACGTTATCTTTTAATTATAATATTACATGTAATAACAATAATAATGAAAAGTAGCCAAAAATAATATGTGATCGTTGATCTGCCGTTTGATAAGTTTCTTCATTTCTTCAATGATTGACGTATTCGGGCGATTTTGTGATATACATTTTGTTTGGTTGTTGCTCTTTTCTTGTCGATGGTATTTGTAATAAACTCGTCTTAACCAACCAATTCGGTGAAAGTGAGATCCAAGTCGTCACAGATGTATTTGTACTTTTCCTTCTCGTGCACGAGCTCGTCTGCAAATTATTTTATTCGAATATCGTTCTTTTAACAGTATTTTATAGTTAAGTAATGAAAATTTTACGATTCCTCGATTTTAACAATAAATTATAATTTATAAATCTGTCCTACAGCTTCGAAACACTTATTTAAAAGTACAAACGTTTACATATAACAATTTTTTTTTTGTATTTCCATTAACTATTGAAAAAACTTATCCAAAGTTTATTGAAATTTATTATTTGAACTTTAAACTTGAAAATATGATTAAATTCACGTATCTCGCTCTCTTTTAAAGTAAATGTAACATAAGCCCTAAACACTAAGTATTCAATTGTTAATATATTAAATTTAGTATTAGAAATGATGTTTCTAACTTTATTAAAAAAATCAAGTTTGTTCGAATAGTTTTATATGAAAAATTATAAAACAAAATATTATAGAAATCAAAATATTTCACTAGTTTTTTTTTTTTTTTTTTTTTTTTTTTTTTTTTTTTTTATTTCATTTCATGTCATATTAGATTGAATATTTAACGTGACTTTCAATGTTTCAATTATATTTAATAAATAGTAAAATTGATGTAAAAATAGTTTCAATATGTATAATATTATTTAGCCTTTCAAAAGCATTTCTATTTTATGTATTTCCTACCTAAGACTAAAAGAAAAATAAAAAACTAAAAAAACTAAAAAAACAAAAAAAAAATAAATAAATCGAATCAACTTCTATTATTTAAATACAGTTTTACATACTTTCAACTCTATCTAAATTTATCAAATATTTAAATTACCTACCTAATTACCTACTATTTATAATAATTACATATGTACAAAAATTTACTTTTTCTTTATATTATATCTTAAAAATACAAATTCAGGACCTATTCCACATTAAATGTATTTTTATAAATTTTATTGTTATATTTGACTCTAATGAAAGTGTTAATTGTTGATAAATAAATGAACTTATTCCAACAGAATAAATGAAATAGTATTATTGTTACAATTATTAAAATATTTATTGATAGTTTGATATTTATTTGCTAATAAAGAGTTGAAGTAATTACAGACGAGATACGGGAGAAAAGTTAAAAAAAAAAAAAAAAAAAAAAAAAAAAAAAAAAAAAAAAAAAAAAAAAAAAAAAAAAAAAAATTTCTTTAAAAAACATTAACCGAGATGATATATGAATTTTCCCCGAGTATGTAACATATTTTTCGCTAAAATGAATAATTGAAATATTAATTTCTTATTTACAATGAAGTAATACATAATTGCCTCAACTTGACTATTTAATTCGATTACTATTAATAATGCGTATTCACAATAAAAAATTTTTAATTAAAGTTTTCAACTAGTAGTATCTTTGCAAAATCTACAGCGATAAAAACAAATGATTGGATTTCTTAAAATAAGTTATAACTTACTGATATTAAAAAAGTAGTATTGAAGCAAAAAGTATAAAAGCAATTATTGTTTATAAAGCGTTAGTATTATGGGTAGTAAATATTATTTAGACGCCGTAGAGCTCGAAAAATGCATTATCCAGGCCATCGCCGACTTCCTTGTATTTCTCCTTTTCTGCCACCATTTCATCTGTAAGCAGGTGTGAATATTGTTCAATGAAATTAATTTAAGCTCATTGCAAATGATTGATTTATGCTTTAGCTTTAGCGAATTATACATGGGTTGATTGTATTTAAATAATTAAATAGAAAGAAAAATGAAAACTACGATGATTAATTATACATTTAAGTAGGTTTAGCTATTAAAACAATAATCCACGATTAAATTTACATTTAAATAATAAATGATATTAAAATATAAAATATACTATTTTCATTTAAATCAGTTTAATGTATTTAAAAGTAATTCGTTAGTTTTTCGAAATTGCTCGTTTCATTCATTTTTACTTATGCGTAATGAGTATTATCATTTTGTCCATCGGTTACATTATTTCAATTTGAAAGGCAATTTGTAATTGCAAATGAGATTAATAGGTACGTGCACACACGCGCGTGAATGTGTCTATTCAAAAATTTTTCTTCTTCCTTATTATTATTATTATTATTAGCTTTGGTTTTTGTTATAGAGATCAAAATATATAATTTCACTGTGACTATGGATTGCGATCGATTATTTCATATCAAAGTTATTAATCTTCTTTCTTAACGGCTTTGAAAATAAAAAAAATTTTTTTTTTTTTTTTTTTTAATTTAACTTTTAAATCGTTCTTTAAATCGCTAAACGGTAAAACAAATTAAAAGGTAATTTAAATTCAACTTATAAACCCATATTTTATTAGCACATTTATATCAATGGCTATTTAAAAAGCTTCACATACAGGCTTTTACACTTGAAAATCAAAACACTTTACTTACCTGACATATTTCAATCTTAGCTTTCACAAAAGTAGTAGTAGTAATAGTTATAGTTATTGTAGTGGTAGTGGTAATGGTAATGTTGGTGGTTGTGGTGGTGGTAATAGTCGTAGTAGCAGTATCTGTGTATTAAGTAGTAGCGGTAGCGGTAGTAATAGTAGCATCAGTGGTGGTACTAAGGGGTAGTGATATAGTAGTAGTACTACTAATAGTAGTACTAGTGGTAAAAGTGGTAATAGTAGTAGTAGTAGTAGTAGTAGTAGTAGTAGTAGTAGTAGTAGTAGTAGTAGTAGTAGTAGTAGCAGCAGCAGTAGCAGTAGCAGTAGTAGTAGTGGTACTAATAATAATAGTAGCAGTCGTAGTGATGGTAATCGTAATTGTAGCAACAGCAACAGTGGTGGCAGTGGCAGTAGCGGTAGTTTTAACAATAGTTATAATTAGCAAAACATCTTTGCACGCAATATTAATTATTTTACTATTAATAGACGCATTGGATGTGGATAAATTCATTGAAGGGTTATGTTAGTGTTGGATTTTAGCGTCCAATATAAGAGTAATTGTTAATAAATGAAATTAAAAAAAAAGACAACGAAAATAAAATAAAAACACACACTTCAAAATCAAAATATATATTATAAACATATTTATAATAATAGAAATATATAATTAATATTACAATATTAGGGTTATTATCATTACAATCGTTTATGCTTTATTAAGTAAATTAATAGACTAAACGATATACCTTGGGGCTTCTCAAGACTCTTTTATTTAATTTTTTACTCAATCAAATAATAAAAGATAACGATAGAAAGCGTAAAGACTTGTAATTCCTCCGCACCATTTTCCGATTATGTATTTTACTTACAAATTCATCATTATTTTTAAAATCGCACATGCAATCATTAATGGGTATACACGTCTTTAAATGAGGGGGAGAAAAAAAAAAAAAAAAAAAAAAAAAAAAAAAAAAAATT